AAATCTTACGACCCCTCGTCCATGAAGGTCAAGAGCGTGCTGCACGGACTCGGCGTGCGACCCAGTGTAAGTCAAAGCCGGTGCTGTGCTGTGTGTAACCCTAGTTAATCAATAGAGTTTCCCTCCTAACATTGTGTTTCCCCACTTTCTTCCCTTTCCCCCACTTCCTTTCCTTGCTTCCATTTCCCACTTCCTTCCCTTTCCCCCCTCCCCTCCCGCCGCCCCCCCCCCCCCCCCCCCTCCCCCCCCCCCCCCCCACCCCCTCTAGTATCATGTGATCCTATTCCTAGTAGTGTTCCCATCCAATTACTGTGTGACTCTATTCCTAGTAGTAATCCCCCCAATTACTATGTCACCCTGTTCCTTGTAGTGCTCCCTTCCGTGTACTGTGTGACCCTTTTCCTAGAAGTGCTGCCTTGCCCGCTTGTCCCTTTCTGTGTTCTGTGTTTCTTACATATCCCCCCTTTTTTATTGTTCTCCACAATTTGCAATCTTTCTTCCCCACCAGGTTTGCGAACTCGATAAAGAGTATGACGGCGAGGAACTGGAGGACGCTGTAGCGAGTATGATTGGTTCGCATACGATACCCGCTTTGTTCGTGAATGGACGTTTCGTTGGCGGTCTGGATGGTGAGTAGTATCCTTATTCATTCCAATGAGTAGCGCAATTCTTGTTTTAATGGTTCTTGTAGCGAGTATGATTGGGACGCATTCGATGCCCTCCATTTTCTTCCAGCTACGCTTAGCTGGCTGCGCAGTGGTGGGTCTCATGCACCCCCAACCACCCATCCTTTCCACATCCTTTATCCATCCATCTTCCCTTCGTTGGGTTCTTGAAGTAGTAAGCACCATTGCAAGTCTCCGGACCGTTAGCACCATCACAAGTCTCCATCTTGCCTTGCACCCTCTCTTCCCTGTGTATGACTCTCCCTCCATTCCCTCGCTTTGTTGTATCTCATATCATACGTTCTCAGCATGGCAGCTAGTCTAGGGTTGTACATGTTTAGGGTTTCCATGTACGTGTTGTTTATATGCTCCCTTCTGTCTCTGCCTCCCTTTGTCTGTGCTACAGACGTGATCAGCATGAACTATAACAGGGATCTGATCCCTATCCTTCAAGAAGCAGGCGCGCTTGCATATTGAACCTGTGTCTTAGAGCGTATATATTTGAGGGGTAGAGTTTGATAAAGTTGGATGATTATATAGTATATAGTTCAGCATGCAGCTTTTGCAGGCAAAGAGGTGTGTAGTAACCTTGGTATTTTAGTGCCCTTAATTATTGATGCTGATGGATATAAGCCAAATTCAAGTTCTCCAAATTATCACAAATTTTCACAACATGTTATATAAGCGTACAGCTACTCTCAGTTTAAGAATTTTTGTAACAGTGAATGCAATAATGCGATTTCCGTCATCTCGGCGAAACGCCACGTCAGGTTACGTCACTCGCCATCCGCTGGTTTCGCTGTCGCAGACTCCGTTCGATTCTCCTTCGCAAAACCCCGCCGACACTAGCACACGACCTTTGGCGGAGGAGGTGAAGAGTTTCTCCGCCCGTGCAGTCCCTCCCCACTCGCTTGGCGCATTCCCCTTTCCCCCAGTCCCCTCTAGTTGCATGTTTGCAAAAGGTTACGACCTAATAAAAACCTTTAAAACCGGAGGTCATGCTGGGTGCCAAAACATTTCCCCATTCCGTACTGTGTGACCCTTTTCCTAGAAGTGCTGCCTTGCCCGCTTGTCCCTTTCTGTGTTCTGTGTTTCTTACATATCCCCCCTTTTTTATTGTTCTCCACAATTTGCAATCTTTCTTCCCCACCAGACTTTGAGTGCCAAAACATTTCCCCATTCCGTGCAGTCCCTCCCCACTCGCTTGGCGCATTCCCCTTTCCCCCAGTCCCCTCTAGTTGCATGTTTGCAAAAGGTTACGACCTAATAAAAACCTTTAAAACCGGAGGTCCAAGAGTTTCTAAGTTAGGAAGGTTGAAAGGGGAGAGAAAGGTGACTGGCTCGCGAGCCAGGGTGGTGTCGAAATTGGTGGTCTGGGGTCGTAAAGGAAGAAAAATTCGCGAAAATAACCAGATCTGAAATGCAACATCAGAACTGGTTCGCCGACAGTTTCGGACGGGCTTCAATTTTGTTGGCGAAAACGTCACTGCTTTCGTCCTCGCTAGAACAGTAGTTTCGCGTGACGAAAATTGTCCCCCCGATTTGCGAAGTGAGTCGTACCTACTGCATCACCCCTTCTCAAAGTTAGGAAGGTTGAGGCACTTTGGGGCTGTTTGGGACTCCGGTTTTAAACCTTTCCCCCACTCCCCCCTCCCTTCCCTCCCGCTCCCCTACCCCGCCTTCCACCCTCCCGCTTCCATTTTCCTCGTGCACCAGATTCTTTGTGCAACAAGACGACATTGTAGTTGTGCTCGCCTCTGTCCATGGCGGACGATGTACTGTAGACCAATAATTGTGCCATCGCCGCTTGCTAAAGTAGTACCATACCTCATATAATTGTGCTCTGTTAACCTTGCTCGATCGAGACATTCTCGGTAGTCATGCTGGGCATACGCGAAGTCAACGCAGTCCAGACCGATCCCTGTCATCCTTCACCAATAATTGTACGCTCAAATTTCATATCGTACGTCGTTTTCTTCCCTCCAGGATGCGTCGCACGTCGTCACCATATGCTCCGTGACACGCGCCTGCCGTGTGCACTACATGACGTCTGAACCATTGTCGTTCCCCGCCGACTTGGCTATAAAAGGCGAGCTATCCAGCCCGGTAATAAGCCAAACAAGCCCAGCCCAAAACAAGCTCACAGAACCTTCTCTACCAGATCCCCTGCTTCCTCCCTTGTAAACTCCCTGGTGTCGACTTTCGACATTTTTTTCTTACTCAATGGCTCCTTCGCTCGCTCGAATCTGCTTCGTCGTCGCTATCGCGATCCAAGCCGCTGTTACCGTCGCGCAATCGTGCTCGTGCGATGCATGCGATACTTCGCCCCCTCCGTGCTACGCCAGCAGGTCGTATTACAGGTTTCGTGCGAATTTCCAGCACTCTTAAGTTCGATTTTCTAATCCAGCATTCGACCTTTGAGCTAACTTTCAGTGCAAAGTACATAATCATGCTCAATTCGTGAATGTGAGACTACCCCTTCCGTCCCTCATGTGCAGATGGTATATGTGGTGGAGAAAGGACGACTGCAGCGCACAGACCCTGTGGAACAACGTCAAGAACTCGGATGACGTTAGGACCAGTGTATTTGCAGTATGGGGACCTGGAACCCCAGGAGCCAGTCAAAAATTCCAGGATTTCGTCCTTATGGCTGCTGACAACAACAATTCTGATTGCGTCAAGATTTACCTCCTGGATTGGATCAAGTGCAAGGCTGCTGTGACGGACTCTGCAGTTCAGTTCTACAACTCTGTGTTGGGTGTTGGCGTGACGAGTATCAAGGACGTGAGGAGCATGGCCGAAATCATGACTACCATTATCAAGATGATTGGCCAAGGCGCGTTCAATACACTTGCGAAGAGCCTGAAGAAGAGGGACCTCGAGGCTCAGATTGTCGTGGCAGCAACCTGGTGTTAGGCCGAATACAAAGTGGATGCGTGACAAACAGCATGGGAGTGGGGAGTTCAGGGGCATACATTAGTCCTGATTATAGACCTGTCTGGTACTGCATTGTGCTGTGTAGTTATTGATGGGATTTGGGAAAGCTAAATTTCGTTATACAGATGATGAAGTGCATTCGATACCATCATGTTACAACAAAGGGGGAACAGCAGAACCACGAGGATATCCTCGCCAAGAGACATCGCAGTAAGTGGAAGTAGCAGTAGGTGTCATTGGCAGTTGACCCGTCAAGGGTTACCATGCTGACTGACGCATTTCTTCGATGGTTCGAAACTTCTTACTTGGGCAGCACGAACATGTGAAGTGTGTTTTTCTCCACCATATGACAAGAACCACAACGCGAAGATGGGTGTGTTGCTCGTAACTATGCTCCTATCTGCCCCAGTCAACGACTTTCTTCGGGCAGAAGATCATCAAGGTGATAAGATGCCATGCCATGGTGCAACCAATCACACTCTCGCTTCGCAAAATCAGGTCAAGCGCACTACATACTCGTTATCAGGCATGCAACTATCTTCCAAACAAGACCGCAAGCATAGCGGAAATTTACTCAACAGTGTATCGATTTTGTGCACAAGCAGCACGGAACTCGACCACTAAACGACCTAGAAAGCATAATGTAGCTTTTTATATAAAGCACACTATAAAATGAAAAATGCATCGGCAGTCGTAACTGTGAAAGCATAATGAAGCTGATCTCCTGATTGAGACGAGGATACTTCAGGTCACATAAAAAAATCGAGTGAGACCGCAACGTCGAATTCGGTGTACATGATTTCCCTGCCTTGCACTCTCATTCCTCTCTTGCACTCTCCATGCTGCAATTTCTCGAATTCCAGAAATGCTCTCCTGGCTACCTCGTAGTTGATTGATCCTAGAGCCAGGAGCGGGACTGCCAGTTTGACTGACGCTTATATTCGGAGCTCCTCCCTCTTGTATATATTCGTTTTTCCCTTCGTTGGATCGAGTAGTTCTTTCTTGTTTGACGGGTTAGCAACTTCTCTGAGGAAAGCGCTTCGGCGGTGCTTGATTTTGATCGCGTCTTCTGGCAACGCCTTTTGTGGTCAACATAATTCTTGCTCAACGGTGAATCTCGGCTATTTTTCCAGGCGTTTCGCATTTCCAAACGAGTTTTATTTTTGGAAGGACTTTAGCAAGCAAGAAGCACCAGCTATCGTTCAGAATTTGCGTTCATTTTTTCTTCACATGATGTGAAGAATTTCTCCTTGTTCAACTTCTCAAAAGCTTTCGCATTTCATTCTTTCTCCCGGCCGTTTTGATTTCAACATTCCTTAAATCCGTTTTCCACCATATTCTTACTCGCTACCACGGTTTTTTCCTGATTAGTTACTCAGGCTTGGCTCCCCTTCGACTATGGCTCGCCTGACGTCATCATGGTGGATGCTGACGCTTCTGGTGCTTCTCCCGGCGCTCGTCACATCAGCTATCGCTGCGGAAGCTTCTGGCGAAGCTGCTACGGAGCCCAAACCGGATCCCGCTCCTTTTTCGGTAAGTGCACGAATCCCCCTTCCTTCCTGCAATTTCTAATTACTTCTGAAATTGGTTTCATGTTGCTTCAGTCTTGCTGTTTGGAATAGACGTCTGCTCCTATTCGCCGTCTTTCTTGGTCCTTACGACCCACAGTCTGCAAATACTCCTCCCTTTCCATCGCCGTCCTCCTCCTCCACTGTTCGAGTCGCCTCAAAATCATTTTCTGCCCTTGTAACCTGCAAATGACTTCTCTCCTTTCATCGTCGTCCTTTTGTTTGTCTGTTTTTTTTTTTTTTTTCGCAGGGGAATGAATTCGTCGTGCCCCAGTCCTTCCTCTACCCCATGTTCGGCCCTCCTCACCCCGATGGTCCCGCTGGGCCCGGCGGCCCCGGCGGCCCTGGCGGTTCTTGGGGCCCCAGCGGCCCTGGCGGTCCCTGGGGCCCTGGTGGTCCTGGCGGTCCCTGGGGCCCCGGGGGACCTGGCGGTCCTGGTGGTCCCGACGGTCCCGGTGGTCCTTGGGGCCCCGACGCCGGTCCTGGTGGTCCCGGTGGTCCCAGTGGTCCCTGGCGCCCTGGTGGTCCCGGCGGTCCCGGCGGTCCTGACGGTCTAGACGGCCCTCCTCGCGATCCCTTTGAAGGCCCATTCTTTCGTCCCGACAGGCTTGACGGGTCCGACAGGCCAGTCCGGCCCGACCACCCCGACAGGCCTCATCGCCCCGACGGGCCCGACAGGCCTGTCCGCCCCGACTGGCCGCACGGCTCCCCGCGCGATTTTTTCGCTTCCGCTGACGCCTCAGACGAATCCCGCCGGGGCGGACCTTTCGGCCCATTCGATCCCCCGTTCGGCCCGCATTCGCGTCCCCCCTTCGGCCCGCATCCCCCCTTCGGTCCGCACTCGCACCCGCATCCGCATCCGCCGTTTCCGCCGCCTCCCCCTCCCCCCGGCGCGATTCAGCTGACGTTTGAGCTGCTGGCGGCTGTGGGGCGCGCGATTCGCGTGCTGTACGGCCCGGGCGCAGAGGCGACAACGGGGGAAGAGCTGACCTGCGGAGGTGAGGTGGTTGTTTGTTGTGCGGTGCTGTGTGGTGGGGTGCGGTGTTGCGCGGTGCAGTGTGGGTGCCTTGTTTTAGCTGTTGACCACTGTGGGGTGCGCGATGGGCGCACTGTACCGCTCGTTTGCGGAGGAGGCAAAGGCGGAAGAGGTGACGTGCGGAGGTGAGGCTGTTTTCTGCCTGGCGCGGTGTGGTGTTGCGGTGCGGTGTGGTGTGGTGTGGTGTGGTGAGCTGACGGTCGAACCTGTGGGTGCATTGCTAGAGCCGCTGTCCCCCCTCCAATCCTCATCTTTCCTCCTTCCGTCTCTCCCTCCTCCCTGTCTTTCTCAACCCCTTCATCTCTGCTTGACAGAGTGCGTCACGAGGGCGACTGAGGTGCCTTTTAGGGCACTCTCTAACAACATTACCACCACTAACTTGTTCCCCCTAATTGCCTCCCTCCTTCCTGCGTTCCCCCCATTTCCCCACCTCCTTCCTCCCTACTCTGCCACCATTGGTTTGCTTGACAGAGTGCGTCACGAGGGCGACGAAAATGCTTCTCGAGGCTCTCTCCAAGGACATTAACACCACCATATGTGCTGAAGACGCTCCTGCAGCAGCAACAGACCCTCCTCACCGCCACTTTGTGAGTCCCTCCCATAGCCAACCCTCGCTTCTCCGCCCTCGCTTCTCCGCCCTCGCTTCTCCGCCCTCGCTTCTCCGCCCTCGCTTCTCCGCCCTCGCTTCTCCGCCCTCGCTTCTCCGCCCTCGCTTCTCCGCCCTCGCTTCTCCGCCCTCGCTTCTCCGCCCTCCCTTCTCCGCCCTCCCTTCCCCGCCCTCCCTTCTCCGGCCCCCCTTCTCTCTCTTCTCCGCCCCCACTTCTCCGCCCCCCCCCTCCGCCCCCCCCCCTCCGCCCCCCCCCCTCCGCCCCCCTTTCTCCGCCCCCCCCCTTCTCCGCCCCCCTTTCTCCGCCCCCCTTTCTCCGCCCCCCTTTCTCCGCCCCCCCTTCTCCGCCCCCCCTTTCTCCGGCCCGCCCTTCTCCGCCCGCCCTTCTCTGCCCGCCATTGTCTTGTGTTTTTGCCTTTTTCTTCTTTCTCTTTTCTACCCTCTCTATGAGAGTGAGAATCAGGGCTGCTTATAGCGAAGCTATGTTCTTCTGTTCCATCCCTCATCGGCCTTTGCTCTCGTCTCCTCTCTTCTCCTTGTCCCGTCCCTTCCTCCCACCAGTGTCGCCTCTTTGCCAACCTCACCACAGCATCAGCCATTGGCGTTTTCGACAAGATTCACATCAACCCTCTCTCCATGGCTGTCTCGGACTGCTTAAAGTTTGGGCCGCCTATTAAAAATCCCCTCCCTCCTCCCCTCTCCTCCCCTCCCCTCCCCTCCCCTCCCCTCCCCTTTCCTCCTCCCCTCCTCCGCTTCTCCCTTCTCTCCTCTTGCCTGCATCCCTTTTTTTCCCCACCAGTGTCGCCTCTTCGCCAACCTCACCACAGCATCAGCCATGGGCATTTTCGACAAGATCCACATCAACCCTCTCTCCATGGCTGTCTCGGTCTGCGCCAAGTTCGGGCCCTGCATGCCCAAACCTCACACTCCTGAAGCGAATCCCGAGCCTGCTGCCGAACCTGAGGGCCTGGTCAAGGAGCAGGCTGCTGCCGAGCCTGGTGCCGAGGCTGATACCGTTGAGGTGCTTGCTTCGGACGACGCACCTGTGAAGGTGAGTGCGTCTCTAAGAATCCTGTTCTTTCCTAAAGCTGCTGAAGGCGAGTTCTGGATTTTGTCGTTCTTCCTTTTTCGCCTGTTATTTTCCAGCTGTGCTTTTTTCGCTCTCAGTATTTCTTGTTGCCGTTTGCTTCTTGTTTTTATTTTATGTATACGCGCTCCATTGGCGTTACAGGGCCTCTCGTAATCGTTTCCATCTCACGTTCTGCATCCTGCTTCCTTTCGTATTTCAGATTCGCGTTGCAATGCCCTCGCGCCGGCTCCTGGGGCACGACCGTGCGCGCATGGACATGGGAGGCATGCACATGGCCATGAACAGCATCGGCATGCTCATGCTTCCTGCTTCCCTCCCTGCCTCCTCTTAACTCCCCCATTCCAGATTCGCGTCGCAACACACTCGCGCCGACTCCTGGGCCAAGAAGGCCGCATGGACATGGACATGGGAGGCGTGCACATGGCCATGAACAGCATCGGCATGCTGGTGTCATCGTCCGTTCCAGAACCTTCCGAGGATGCTTCCGCCGGTGCAGCCACTGGCGCTACCACTGGTGCAACCACTCAAGGAGGAAACGGAGGGGAAACGGAAGGAAAGGAAGGAGAGGAAGGAGGCGAAGAAACCTGCGACACGTGCATCATCGAGGGGTTCCATCTGATCGAACAGTCAGTCCGTGCGCGGATCAAGTGGATATGCAGCCTCGCAGAGGACGAGCACGCGCCCCCGCACATCAGGGCTCTCTGCAAGTTCATCCACCAGTACCCCTACCTCGCTATGGTCATCTCCGTTATCCACATCAAGCCGTGGGAGAAGGTCGTTCCGGCATGCTTCCACATGGGCGCGTGCAGACCTCCCCACCCTCCCCCTCATCCTCCGCATCCTCCCCATGGGCCCTGCCCTTCTAGGGAAGACTGTCCCCCTCCTCCCTATAGGCCCTGCCCTCCTGGGGAAGACTGCCCCCCTCCCCCTTGCCCGCCAGGGGAAGACTGCCCCCCTCCGCCTCCCCATAGACCCTGCCCCCCTGGGGAAGATTGCCCCCCTCCTCGCCCCTGCCCCCCTGGGCAGGATTGTCCCCCTCCGCCCTTTCCCCCTCCCCCCTGCGCTCATACTCCCCTCCCCAACAACGCTGTCCCCCTTCCCATCCTCCCCACTCTAGACCTTAATATCTTCCACCCCCCTCCGCCCTTCCCCCCTCCCTTCGCCCCTCCCTTCGCTCCTCCCTTCTCCCCTCCCTTCCGCCCTCCTTTCCCTCCTCACCCCTCGGGCCCTCCCCCCCCATGCTCCCTCTTTGGTTTCCTCCGTGCTGCGGGAAGCTTCCTTGCCCGCTTCCTCGGTTTCCCTCCCCCCCCTCCCCCGCCTCCACCGCCCTGCCCGGGGAACGAACCTGGGGGGCTTTTAGCTAAGTATTTCTTAGCTGAGAGCCATATGGTGGGGGAAGTTGCGGCAGGAGAGAGTGGGAAGGGGAGTTGGGAAGGTGCTGTGGAGGGTGTTGGGGCGGTTCAAGATGGGGATGGTTTGAAAGGAGTTGATGCTGAAAATGCTGGTGTTGGGAGCATCGGGGTTGTCGTGAATGTGGGTGGTTTTGAAAGTGCTGAAGCAGAGGCTGATTTTGGCGCAGAGGCTGATTTTGTAGCAGAGGCTGGTGGTTCCGAAACTGAGGTTGATACTGATGTTGCAGCTGGTGTGGCCAATGCTGATGGGATGGTGAGGGTGATGTTGGATAGCACTGGTTAAATGGCAGATGCAAGGACGAGGTTGCTTGGGTTGGAGCGGAATGGAACGCTTTGAATGTGGAGAGGAGAGGGTGTGGGATTTCGGTGTAGTGATTGCAGGATATAACAAGGCTGCTTGGAAGTGCTGAAGTGTATGCCAGTTCTAAATCATGTGATGCTAGCTGGAATAACGATCTATGTTCATGAAGAAAGTCAAACGAAACAAGAGGCGACGAAAGCGTCTAAGGGTTGCGAAGCAACATTACAGTGTAATTTTTAGATGCACTTGACATATTATGAGAATTATATAATATCGTAACAAGACTTTGATGAACTACTGCTATTTACATATACATTGACATATAATATAGGTTTACATATATGAATAGGGGTGGTCGTTCTGGATATAGATTCTGAATGTTAA